CCACCACGTGTTAAAACTCCCTCAAATTCACAAATATCAGTATGTATTAATTCTAATAAATTAGTTTTCCTTTCAACACTTTTAAAAGGTTTTTTAGTGATTTTAGTCAAACTACAAGATTCACATTTTTCAAAATCATTATTTACTTTCGGTATTAATCCAAGATTACTTATATTTTTTATATATTTATTATTAATATGACGTAAACGAGCATGCCAAACAGTATTAGAAATCGTATAAAGAGAACTTGAAGGCACTTTAATCATATCAACATTCAACTTGTACATGCCATCACATGCCATCACATGCATAGTCTTTCCCAACAAATATACCATTTTTAGTCAAAACATAATGCCCAGTCTTTGAAGCCAGCCTTACCAAGAAGAAATCCAGAAACTAAATTTTTCCTCATTAGAGGAGTATAAAGCGCATCTTTGAGAGTCAACGTTTTTCCAGAGGTAAAATTCAATTCCACCTTTCCTTGGCCAGGAACCTTGATTGTATGACCATCACCAAGTCTCACTTCCTTTTCAACATCATATTCAGAAAATGTTTTGAACCAAGATTTGTCTTTACAGACATGCCTTGCGGCACCAGAATTAATCCACCATCCCTCACCGCCATTGAGCATGTTTAGATCATTAGCGAGCTTAAAAGGTTTTTCACGAGGTAAACTCATTTTTTTTAAAGAATTTTTCTTTCGAAACGTTCTAAAATTGTTGTTCCTCGTAAAGTAAATAGAAGAAAAATAGACAAAAGATTTGCAAAAAAAACAATTAATTAAATATGAAAATCAAAAGTAGAAAGATGTCACTGAAAGTATGAGGAGATTAAGTTGAAGTGTAGATCAATCACTCTCTTTAAGACGTTTCGTACCACTGGTGTAGCAGATTTTTATGGTCACGCCGCCTCCAGAATACAACAGCCCAACCTCCTTGTTGTATCTTTACAAGTACTGCACTCTTATAAAGAAAGCTCTACCCCACCACCTTTTCCCTGCCCAAAGAGAGTTTGAATGTTGTGTTTTTTTAGAATAGGAGTACA